TGTCGGCTGGTCTTTTGTACTAAGTCTTGGTACCCGCGCCGCAAACTACTAAATGGAAAAAATGAGCCTCGATCAGTATTCGAATCCACGACCATCCGCGTCCCGAGCGCGCTCTCTACCAACTGAGCCAATGAGACTTCTGCAGACTTGAAGCTTATCTCCGCTGTCGCTCACACCCCGAAACATATGGCTGGCAGAGGGGCAAAAGGCAAAAGGGTTCGGTCGACTAGATTCGAACCAGCGACTGTTTGCGTACCGGTCCATCACTTCAGGTGTCGCACGGCTGTGAAGTCATGGCCAGCCAAGCGCGAAAAATATCACCGGTGTTATAGATTTGAACCAGCGACCAGGTCCACACCGGGCCAGGACCCTACCGACTTGGCCACGTCGGAACGATACGAAGCACAACGTTCGGCGGCATCCAGATCTCAGCTGTGACTGACGCCCGAAGACACTCGGCCAGCAGAGCAGAAAAAAATGATCGCGGGCGGGATTCGAACATCGGACCATCCCCACGGTCACGACCTGGGAACGATCACGCATTAAGCTCGGTTACCAGCTTGCTCCTCCGAGACCGAGGTCTGAGCTCAATCCTGCCTAACGGGAGACAAAAGGCGACAAAAAAAAAAATTTGCTCCTTCCCGGGAGTTGATCTTAGGGCCGACAATTTTGGTTCGGATGAAGCTGCATGCGGCCATCTCGACTGTAGCTACAACTGTTTAGCTACAAAAGGGGCGCGTGGCTGGTGGTGTCGGACATCGTTTGTTGCCCGTGTCCATAAACACACTGTAATCTCTGTGGCGACACGTGTGACCAAAATTTGGCGACACATTTATTTTGGCGACTTCCCTTTTTCGTCGCCAAACTTTGGTGACATCCGAGATGTGACTATAATTATGGAAACAGATATGTCGCCATGACAGTTCCAATTGAGAGCATAAAATCTGTCACCCTCGGTGTCACTTAATTTGGTGACGTTTTCGTCGCCTTAGCGGCAACACATACGTCACCAAATAAGGTGACACCGAGGGTGACAAATTTTATATTCCCAATGGGACCTATCACGGCGACATATCTGTTTCCATAATTATGGCCACATCTAGGATGTCGCCAAAGTTTGGCGACAAAAAAGGGAAGTCGCCAAAAGGGGAATGTCGCCAAGTATGGTCACAAATTTGTTGCCATAGAGTTTACAGTGCAGGGACGTGTCTACCTACTACCACTTGTCGCCGCGGCACGAGTTGTCGCTTGGACGCCTGCGAGGTAGGCCATGGCTTCTCTCAAATGCGTCTGTAGTGGTGGGGACTTTGGGTTTAGGCTCCTTTTGACCCCAGGCTCATAAATCCTCTCTAAAGCTAAGAAGTGACGCCGTGTCAATCTAGGCGTTGATATTCTAGCATTGGCGGAAGTAATGAATTCGTCTATAGACGGTTCAGTTTAAGCTGACTCGGGCACTGTCGGCTGTAGCTACAAACATAGACGTCAAGTCGGAAGCGTCCGGGCCCGGTATGAACCTGGTCGCTGGTTCGAACCTCGGCCGGTTGATATGTTTCGCGGTCCGCATGACTTTACAGCCGTGCGACACCTCATGTGATGGGGCGGTACGCAAACAGTCGCGAATTTAAGCCTTACCAGGGCAGTGAGTGCAGTCAGTAAATTGCATTATTTTTCTAAACTCTTTATTTTTCTCATCTCTACAATGTTACATACATTTATAACAACGGGGTTTCAACTCATTGTAAATTTGACTTTTAAAATACACACTATGTTGGACCATAAGTGCAGCAAGAGCAAAATAGGAGACTCCTTGTTTTAAGATGATAAACATCATTTTTTTCTAAACATTTTTTAAAACTTTGTACATTTAAAGCTTGTGCAGTACATGTCAACAAGTTCAAAGTGAATGAGAATGATGGTGGTATGTACCACTTGGGTCCTGAAAGCTGAATGGAATGTTGTTCAATGACTCAACCACATTCATCAAAAGGCAGAGTTGCAAATTGAGGCAAATGGTTTAAATGAACTCCATAAGAGTAATTAAAGCACAGTTCATTGTAGAGAAAACTAACATGGATGTATAAATAAATGCTGTTTTCAAGGGGAAAAAAAGCTTTAACAAGAACATATAATAATAATAATTACATAATTGAAACAATACTTTCATTTGGGATTGCTTCATGAGATTAATATAATAATAATAATAATGTCTCTCTTATACATACATACTTCTTTATCATAAGTTATGTGTGGGTTGGATCTGGCTTGGCTGTGATGAAAGAAAACATAGAATACATGGTTCATCTAAACTGAACGGAAAAAATCCGTCTAAAAAATTCTTCAGCAACATCAAGTGTTCAGATCACTACATTTTTCTGATACTACAACAGTTTACCAGCATCAATATAAAATCAAAACAAAATAAATGCCCTTTTAGTCTTGTGAGGTAAGGTAGTGTACTTTAGATGCCTTAAGCTGACTATCCTACCATTTGTACTTATGTCAAAGTCTTTGATAATACTATGAGAAATTTGAAATAATATGCTGTACGGTAATACTGATACAAGAAAATAAAACACTGTTCCAAAAAAGAAAGTGCACCACTGTTCATAAAACTGAATTGGAACAACTTGAGATTCATTCCTCAAGCAAGGTAAAACAGAAATAGCTGGGGTTGACACAGAACAAAGGTGAACCCCTCTTTCAGCAAAGGATTGCAGTTCTTTGTGATGAAAACCATTTGTGTAGCAGACAGTTAAAAATGTTCTGCTCTGCATTCAGTAACATTATACAGGTAAATATGAGGTATAGCTGAAAATAAGCTACAACAAGCATTTTGATACTGTTTTGGGCGACAAATAAAATATAACATGCAAGTTTCACATGTTTCTGAAATAAACCAAAACAATAAAATTATAGAACTTAACATAGAAGCGATGATAGCATACAAATAGCAGCTCTATGCTCTGAGAATCATTAAAATAACTGGGGAGTTATAGAACTAACACAATGATAACAATAATGATGTCATATAAATGGTAATAAAACATATTCACTACATTGTACAAAATAAAATATTGCTGCCTTATTGATACAGACTTTGAAAAGATCGAGCAATGCCAGTTTGACTTCACATTCTCAGAAAGAATGAATTAATATGTTTCAGTCAAATGTAATGACTAGAGCCTTAAATAAGAATACATAATTTAAAGGTGAAAGATTCTGAAATACTTCTAAAATAATTCATTGCTGCACTTGACCTGAACAAATTCAACAGGACACAATATTCAGTTGAAACAACCAAAGCATGTAATGGCTAGATCAAGACATAAGGTAGGCACATAAGAATAAATAAATAAATAATGCACCATAAAAAAGTCCTGCCTGATTAGTGATTCTGTCTGTGATTCCAGAAATCTTGATCAAAAGTCAAAAGTAATAAAAGCTGAAAAGTTCTGGCATAAAACAACGAATACACTTGAATTAAACGGAAAAGAGCAGTAAAATAAACTGATGGAAATACAACATGGTTATGTAAGCCTCAAAAATAAAGGGAATACCAGGTGGGTTCACATTCTGCACTTTTTTTTTGGATGCAAGCAGGTGAGTAGGATTGTCCATCCCCCAGTAGGTAGATGAGCTGTTTTACAGTTTTATAAGATCTTACATCAAAAATTTAAATGCAACGATTTTTCAAGTCTACCTTCTATGAGAGAGACAGAAGAATGACTTTACACTGTACGTGTTATTTTATGTTTAGAGAGGTCTTTAGCATTAAACTAGAATTTTAAACATGCACATAATATTTGCTTTTATCCTACATATATGCCATTTATCAAGATAACATTTCTTGCTGAACTTGTTTTAAGAGGTATGTATAGCGTTAAAATTATGTATCTAATACACTGTGATTTAATAGAATTGGCTTTTAGCCAGTCACGACCTAAAATAGATAAGATTTAGTATGGAAGAATGAAGAGGGAAAAAAGGCATAGAAGAAGATATAAAAACTGTTCTCAATTGTTTTAAATCCTTCACTATTTTGTCTATGAAAATTGTAGCCAATAGGCATGTACTTAAGCTAGATCTACCACTTAAGACATTCAAACATGCTTCACATATCGAATTCAATCGATATGATGTGGCCTGAGAAGTTATGGAACTCCACGCAGAGAAAGTCAACAGGCATAAATTTTACGGAAGATGTAGTCTTTAGAATATACCCCACTTTTTGACAAATCTTAGGAAAAAACCAAGATGTCAGGCATGAACCTTGTGGGATCAGCATTAAACAAATAATGATATTGAACAACCCTTGCAATATAGTTTCAAAATGATGATCTCATATGTTGGGGGATGCACTCACAAAAAGTCTGGCAATCGGGCTAAATGCAATAAACATCTCAAGTTCAGGTTTGCAACGCAGTGGTCATTTCCTGGTGAATCATGGTGAGCTCTTGAATGCGTCCAGCCAGCTGGTTGTTCAGAGTATCAATGACTCTTCGTTGAGAGTCTTGTGCTGCTAATGCAGTTTCTAATTGCGCTTGGGCTAGTGACATGGCTGCCTGAAGTTCTGCATTGTCTTGCTGCAGACTCTGGAATACCAAAGGAAAAATGAAATCAATCAATCTTTAAGGAATATGAGAAGCAGCTAAGCAGATTTTTAAACCCTTTCACTAACCTTGATTCGTTCTTCAGCAGGAGCAGCATTTTGTTGTTGCTGTTGTTTTAGCATATTTAGACGTTTTATATCTTCATCTTTAGTGGTAAGCTCGCTTTCCATTGTTTCAATTCGTAGCCTTAATGTTGCCAACTCTTTACGCAGCTCAACAGCAGCTTCAGTGCTCCCTTTGAAATAACAGATAATGATAAGTAAAACAAAACAAGACATGGTACAATGTTTGAAAAGAATCTGTCACTAACCTTTGGCTGCTTCTAGTTCTAGGTACCGGGTCTTCAAGCGTTGATTTTCTTCTTTGTAGCTTTGGAGCTGCCTCTTCCACTCTTCAACATTAGCTGTGCTTTCCTGAAGAGCTGACGTCAACCTCACATTATTGCTTTTTAGGGTAGCAAGTTCTACTTCCCATTTCTTAGCATTTGCAGAGCTGAATGAAAGCCAACAAGTTAGACCTGAAAACTGAATTCAGACAGCACAGCAAAAAATCTAGTAAATTTCACATACCTTTGAGCAAGTGCAAGTTTCAGTCGATCATTCTCATATTTTAGCTGTGCTTCGCCAGATCCCAAGGGTGCAGATGACTTATCTCCAATTTGATGTTTAGGACTTTCACCTGCTGAGAGGGACTGGCTACGGACATGTGAGGTTCCACCTTCTCCTTCCACTTTGATTGTGGCAGTGCCACTGTTATTGAGGTGTGTGCCAGGAGGCTCCAACAACTGCTGAGAGTCAGCTACCTGCACAGAGCCACTTGCAGCCCTGGTACTAACAGGACTTGCATTTGCACTTGTAACAGGAGTAACTCCAGTGCTCTGACCATTAGTGGCTGGCTTATTATTGCCAACAAGTCTTGTTGCTTCCTTAACTTCTTGAAATTTTTCAATGAACTAAAAATGACCAGAACACATAAATAAGTACACAAAGTAATGAGAAGTACAAAATAAAATAGGAATTGAAGAAAGGGTAACTTACCTTATTTAATTCTACCTCTGTTGCAAAACCTAAACCATATACCGTATTAGCTCGAACGTCTGACCATTGACCAAATTTCTGAGATGTTTTAGTAAATGTCATATTAGGTGTAATTGTGCTATTAATAACAGCCTGGTCAAAGGAGAAAATACATTAGCTTTCTACAATACTTTGATCGCACAGCACATATTATTGAACACTTGTTACCTTTGTGCCTTCAACGCTGATGATACGATACAGGTTACGTGTTGAATCATAGAAAAAAGAGACACTAACAGCAGAGCTAGATGCCGGTATCCAAGACCGTTTTGTTTTGGGATCAATGTGGAAAACATGGGCCTTGCAGGTAAAGATGGGCTGTTCACTGTAAATTGAACAAATTATATTATATTTGACTAGAATCAATACAATCATATAGTACATGAATTTTCCAGAGCAGACTTCAAGCATGTCTAAGGATTCAGCATTTGTGCACTTCTCTTCATAATGTGGGAGAATGTTACAGAACATATACAAAGTTCATAAAATGTTAGACCTTCACAACCTTCAATCACAATATAAGTCTAAAATAGATCTTTAACCAAGTACGTGCTACAAATTAAAACCGAAATTGAGTGAGAATTTTCAAAGGTCGTGTGTAATCTAAATAAATCAAAGATAGATTTTCATTCAAAAGTAAAGTTTAACAGGTTAGAATTTGTGATGGGAGTCTCCTCAGTAATAACATGTTAAGGAGGTATTATTCCTGAACGGGGTTAGCTTCAAGCCCTCCCACACACTTGCCGGGGCAAGTACTTCAAACTAATAGGTGAACTTACCCCATTGTTTCTTTACCAGAAGTCATCCGATGATACAAAACCAAAATATAAACTTCAAATTGACAATTCAGACGACGGGTTACCTGCTTCCGACAGACTCCCAACCCACCGACCCAACCACCACTTGGTGCGTGGTAGATTCACATTCACATTCATTGTGGAAGAAAGCCTCGGCTCGTGTCAGCAGCTGCGCTGTAAAGCAAAATTTGTGAAACTCAATGTTTTTGGTGGCTTGAGAAGTCTTGAATTTAGGGGTGGACGATTCAGTCAGAATTTGAAATGGAGGACCATAGAAGGAAAATATGAAACACTGAGATGAACCGGCTACATTCTTGCGCCAACCGGCACAAAATAACGAGTGAAGGCCTATGGTCGTGTTTCGGAGGACTTCCCTGATAGGTTTCATGGAAATTTATGCCAGATGTCATAGTCCTTGTATCAAACGCGTTCGGTTTGTTATAGAGCGGGTTTCTTAATCTTTTCGTCTGAATCAACTAAGTATATTCTGATGGCGTGTGATGTCGGAAAATTTTTCTCGCGAAACCAGTCTTTGGCTGTCAGCCGGATAAGCTTGCGGCTACACGCGCGGTTGTGTGTGTGTGTGTGTGTGTGTGTGTGTGTGTGTGTGTGTGTGTGTGTGTGTGTTTGACATCGATGGCAGCCGAGGCCTTAGCGACAAAGACCACCTCAGGAAAATTCCGGAAGAAAACACTTGTCTTTCCGGGCGTTATTATTTTATTTTTAAATTAGTTGGACGGCGACGATAAAAAGCTGGCTGGACCACTACTACTGGTCCCATCCCCAGCTCGTGGGCAAGGGTTTCTGGTTGGAGCTTAGGAGTCCCGTGAACACGGAGAACACCGAGCTGCTCGACGAGGTGAGGTTTGTCACGCCCAAGAGGCCCTTGCCGAATGGCGCCGTCTCCGCCGTCTCCAGGTAGTACTTGCCACGCTTGTGCCTGTAAGTGCAAAAGAACACAATCAGCTAAACATCTCCTTTCGTTTTTATTATGTTGGGAGAAGACAAGGATAGGAAGGGGGGGGGGGGGCAGCCAGTATGCGACACGATGATGCCGCGGAGGCGCGGCTTCCTTACGGTGTGGCACGTGTCGCTGGGGCGGAAAGTACCGCCAGGACCGGGGTGTCGGGTTGGGGTGGGGGGACCGTACCCTTTTACTCTTTTCGCCGCGGTCGACACAACAAGAAGTCGAGTCTGCGCTCGCTTACCTGGCCTCGCCCGCCCTGATGCCCATGT